GGAAGAAACAAGAAATTGCTGCAGGAGGGAAATCACTCTGGGGCAGGAGATATGGCTCTCCAAGGATACATGGGTGAGAGGAGTGTCACACTTACATTTGTGCCTGATGGTCCCATTGTTGCATAGGCTACAGTTCCTACATTGGAATAAAGTTCTGGCTGAACTCTTATACTGATTGTCTGGACAACCACACACTGTATGGAAGAAACAAGAAATTGCTGCAGGAGGGAAATCACTCTGGGGCAGGAGATATGGCTCTCCAAGGATACATGGGTGAGAGGAGTGTCACACTTACATTTGTGCCTGATGGTCCCATTGTTGCATAGGCTACAGTTCCTACATTGGAATAAAGTTCTGGCTGAACTCTTATACTGATTGTCTGGACAACCACACACTGTATCCTTCTTTTCCGTGCACTCAGACAGTGTTATCTGGTTCAGTTCTAACAGGAAACAGAGAAAGAGAGGGACAGAGATGATTCCACCCTCTTCCCGCACTGGGTCCTCTTCATGATGGCAGCACAAGCCCACAACAGGCATCATCAACCTTTGCTTTCTTCCAACTAAGAGCTAGTACCAAAGAGCCTGACAATTACTTCCTTTGAGCTCTTGTCCTCATCAAGACTCCACCGCACTGTTTGCCATCACCATTGTCCCTTTCCCCCCACTGTTCCGCTCTATCCTCATTCCCCAGCACCACATCCACTCCAGCCTTTGCTATCTCTCCACCACCACCCATATCCCCCATCCTCATTCCCCCTGGGTGAAACTCACCTGAACGGCACCGTTGGCAACTATGGCATTTCCTAATAGTGTTATCCGTAGCCGTGTACGTGCCCACCGGACATCGCATGCAGATAGGCGCAAGATGGCCTGGCTTACAGTCTTCTGCCAAATATGTCCCTGAAACAGAATCACTTAATAGGCATCTGACAAGGAAAGAGAGATATTCTGCAGGGAAAATGAGAGTCAGGGAAAATGCAGGGGAGAGCGGTACCCATAGCCGAGAGGCTGCTCTAGCTATCAGCAAACTAGACAATTGTCTAGGGTGGCAGCTTTTGGAGTAGTATATAAAATGAAAGTGCAGGAAAATGGTATGTTTTCTTAGCTCCAGGAGGAAATGCACTCCCCAGGATGAGAGGGTAAGGGGAAAGGAGATCTCACAATTAAGAGTATGTGTCTCCTTTAGTCCTGAATGGGGCACTCTCATCAGAGACAGCCAAAGAACAAGAGATACTTGGGATTCAGGAAACAGGAATGTATCTGTGGCCTTAATAGTAATGACTCACTGTTACAGTATTTTACCTGCGTGGCATCTCATGCAGCAGTGGGTCCTGTTTGGATGTACATACTCTCCCAGCTGACATTCTGGCTCCCTCCTCTTTCTCCCCAGGGATATCCCATGGATTTGCAGGGTATCTGGGTTTGAGGCAACTCCCAGACATTCCTCGGCCCACACCCAGATCAGGATTTGAATGAGCTGGAAAGGGAAAAGACCACTGTGAGAAAACATTTCCTCAGGTAGAATTCACAGCTGACCCAAGCACCAACCTGACATGACAATGAGACTGTAGCCGGCTTGGCTTCCCAGTGAGGTTCCTCCTCCTCCGTGTTAGTGGGCGGCCACTCTGCCCCACTACACTGTGGCTACGTCTACACTGGCCCCTTTTCCGAAAGGGGCATGTTAATTTCAGAGATTGTAATAGGGAAATCCGCAGGGGATTTAAATATCCCCCGCGGCATTTAAATAAAAATGTCCACCGCTATTTTCCGGCTTTTAGAAAAGCCGGAAAAGAGCGTCTACACTGGCCCCGATCCTCCGGAAAAACGATCCGGCCCGATCCTCTGGAAAAAAGCCCTTTTCCGGAGTATCTCTTATTCTTACTTTGAAGTAAGAACAAGAGATCCTCCGGAAAAGGGCTTTTTTCCGGAGGATCGGGCTGGATCGGGGCCAGTGTAGACGCTCTTTTCCGGCTTTTCTAAAAGCCGGAAAAAAGCGGCGGACATTTTTATTTAAATGCCACGGGGGATATTTAAATCCCCCGCGGATTTCCCTATTACGATCTCTGAAATTAACATGCCCCTTTCGGAAAAGGGGCCAGTGTAGATGAGCCCTGTCTCTTTCAGCCAAGCCCCATGTCCATGTCCGACCTTCCTTCAGGCGGGTGGCACAATACAAAGTCTGCTTATATATATAGGCCCGGCCCTGGTTCAGGGTGGGCGGCAAGCCAACAAAGACCATTTTGGGTATAGGCCAAGCCCTGGTTCAGGGCGTGGCAACAGATAAACCCAGTTAGTTTATAAGGAAAGGCCAGTCCCTCGCTCAGGGTGTGGCTAGGGTTGCCAGATGGTTGAAAAAAAAATACTGTTGAAGGAAAAAAAAGGGGGGGAGTGGGGAGAAGAGACCAAAGTTGTTGAGCAAAAAAAAGGACTCCGACACCATTTTGTGCCAGTAGCCTTGCAGAACCAGGTAAGCATGGGGGCTGGGGCTGGGGGTGTTGGGAGCCAGGAGGGGCTTGAGGCGGGGAGCAGGCAAGTTGCTTCTCAGTTTAAATCTCTGTGGTAATCACAGGGATAGGATCACTGCTAGGGTTACCAGGTAGTCATTAAAAAAAAAAAAACCAGACACGCTTCATGGGGGGGGGGGGGGCGAGGCGGGGGGGGGGGC